TATTACTTGGTTTTCCTATAAAAAGTTGTACTTTCAACTATAGTGTAGAATCTGAAAAGGGTTATGCTTCTTCCAAAACGACCATTAATCATAACATTAATGAAAAAGACAAAGAAGATTAGTGATGAAGACTATATATCCTTTAGACCAACAACCAAAGAACCCCTACTGATCCATATTTACTCTAGGAAGTCTAGGAAACACAAAGGTGACTCAACTAAGTAATGTGGACGGTGCCCGACTCCAGATTGAATAATTAGTTATTTACGTTTTTGTCATATATTTGCAATTGTGGGAAATCTCTTTTTGGTAGTGGTCTACTCCTGCTGCTTTGCGCGTTACTGATGGCCGTCCGGTGAAGGTCGAGGCTCTAAGTGCTCGTTAGAGAGCTTTCCAGTTGACTACGGAGGAGTTCACACAGCACCTAACGTTGTTGCTGGTACGTATTTCCTTATTTATGTTATTTTGAGATTTGCTTATGCTTATATTGTGTTCCATATAGGTACTTTTCTTATGAGTTCTGAGCTTTCATTGGTGTTATTTGACTAAGGTGCGAGTCAATCTTTATGTCCTTATCCTTTAGTCGTCACATTAGTGTTAGGCGCGAGGCGTTGAGTCGACCGTTGAGGGTTTTTATAGCCGATGAGCATGTGGTTTTTGCCATTTATGTATACCAGGGATTTGTTTTAGAGATTTTCGAGGTTGAGTTTCCGATAAAACTGGTGCCGATAGCGATGAGTGATGTTTGTGTCATAGTGGGCATAGATTGGTTGAGCTGATTTGGAGCCATGATTGACTATGAGCGTCAGATGATGACCATACGAGACCTTAGTGAGGGAGTAGTTACTATTTATGGCGAGGGAAGTAGATCGGGATCAGCTTTTTGTTCTGGCGCCAGGGTGAGGCAAAGTCTAGAGCAGGGATGCATGAGCTTTTTAGCATATGTGATGGATACACGGGTAGCCACTGAGAGGCCGAGTTTTGTTTCTTATGTTCCTGTAGTATGTTTTCCCCATGGAATTTCTGGGTGTGCCTCCTGAGAAACAGGTGGAGTTCCAGATCGATCTGATTCCGGGTGCGACACTTATTGCCAAGGAACCTTATCTTCTTATGCCACTTGAGATGCAGAAGTTGTCCTCGTAGCTCCAGGAGCTGCTGGGGAAGGGTTTATTGGACCGAGTAGCTCACTGTGGGAAGCACTGATCCTTTTTGTCAAGAAAAAGGATGGTTCACACCAAATGTGCATCGAATACCGGGAGTTGAACAAGCTGACGGTCAAGAACCGTTATTCGCTACCGAGGATCGACAATTTGTTTGATCAGTTGCAGGGGGCGTCTTGGTTTTCCAAGATTGATTTGAGATCTGGGTATCATCATATGAGAGTATTCAAGGAGGATATTCAGAAGACGGCCTTCTGAACTCGTTATGGGCACTAAGAGTTTGTGGTGATGCCTTTCGGGCTCACCAATGCACCGATAACATTCATGGACCTCATGATCCAAGTGTGCAGGCCCATGTTGGATCGGTCGGTAATCGTGTTCATCGATGACATTTTGGTGTACTCGAGGTCTAGGGAACAACATGATGAGCATATGTGGGAGATTCTTAGGGTATTGAGGATGGTGAGGCTCTATGCCAAATTCTCCAAGTGTGATTTCTGGTTACGAGAGGTCCAGGTATTGGGACACCTTGTTAACCAGAATGGGATTTTGGTCGACCCGGCCAAGATTGAGGCAGTTGTACAATGGAAGGTACCAAGATCCCCATTCGAGATCAGGAGTTTTCTAAATCTGGAGGGTTACTATCAGAGGTTTATCAGAGATTTCTCCAAGATTGTTGTTCCTCTGACCAGATTGACTAGGAAGGGTGTTACTTTTGCTTGGAGACCTAAGCAATAGGCATCATTCGAGACTCTTCGCCATAGATTGTGCGAAGCTCTAGTGTTATCCCTTCCCGAGGGAGTGGAGGACTTCGTACTTTATCGTAATGCATCTATATCGGGAATGGGTGTCGTGTTGATGCAGAAGGGACATGTGATATCATATGCATCGAGGCATCTAAAGCCTCGCGAGATGAGGTATCCCACCCACGATTTGGAGTTGGGGGCGGTGGTATTCGCCCTCAAGATTTGGCGCCACTATCTTTATGGTGTCCGATGTACCATATACATGGACCATAAGAGCCTGAAGTACCTTATGGATCAACCCAACCTGAATATGAGACATAGGAGGTGGTTGGATGTAATGAAAGACTATGACTATGAGATTTTGTATCACCTTGGCAAGGCGAATGTGGTGGCTGATACCCTGAGTCGTAGAGCAGTGAGTGCACCGATCCGAGACATGTGCATGAGGATGACGGTGATGACCCCAGTCTTAGATACCATCCGAGAGGCCCAAGAGGTGGCCATGAGACTAGAGAACCGTAAGAGAGAGCGGGTGATTGGTCATATTTCTGAGTTTGAGATTGATAGTCGTGGGCTTATGACCTTCCGTGGGCAGATATGGTGCCATATACAGGTGGATCTCGACGTATTTTGATGGAGGAGGCCCATAGATCGAGATTCTCGATCTATACAGGGGCCACCAAGATGTATTTGGACTTGAAAAAGGATTATTGTTGGACCTATATGAAAAGAGATGTGACATGGGTAGTCGAGAGATCCTTGACCTCTCGTCAGGTCAAGGCACAACACAAACGTTCTCATAGCCAGTTGCAGCCTTTGGAGAATACCCTGTGGAAATGGGAACATATATCCATGGATTTTATTACCAAATTACCAAGGACTACGTGAGGTGTCGATGTGATATGGGTGATTGTAGATAGGTTGACGAAGAGTGTTCACTTGTTGGCTATAAATGAGAGCTCTTCTGCAGAGAAATTAGCCGAGATATACGTTCGAAAGGTGGTGGCACGGTATGGGGTGCCAACATCGATAGTATCAAATCGTGATGTGTGTTTTACTTCCAAGTTCTGGAAGAAATTTCACGAGGAGTTGGGTACCCAGTTGCATTTCACCACCACATACCACCCACAGACAAACGAACATAGCAAGCGGATGATTCAGACACTCAAGGACATGCTACACACATGTGTTATCGACTTCAGTGGAAGTTGGGACACTTACTTGCCCTTAGCTGAGTTTTCATACAACAACAACCATCACTCCAATATCGGTATGCCTCCCTTTGAGCTTTTGTACGGAAGGAGGTGTCGGAATCCTATCTGTTGGGTAGAGGTAGGGAAGAGAGTGATGGGGAGCACTGAGATAGTGCTCAAGATGACAGAGAAAATCCAGCAGGTCAGACAGAGAATACTGACGGCATAGAGTCGTCAGAAGAGTTACGCAGACCGGAGAAGATCCGAGCTAGAGTTCCAGGTCAGAGATTTTGTCCTCCTAAAGGTATCACCACGAAAGGGGTGATCCGATTCAGGAAGCGGGGCATGTTGGGCCCCAGATACATCGATACTTTCATAGTGATCACTCGAGTGGGTAACGTAGCTTATTGGTTAGAGCTGCCTGTAGAGTTGAGCTAGATTCATAACACCTTCCATGTGTCCCACCTTAGGGAGTGTGTAGCCAACGAGACGATAGTGGTACCTTTAGAGGATATTCAGGTTGATGATCGACTGAACTACATTAATAATCCGATGGCCATTTTGGATAAGAAAGTGAAGGTATTGAGGAATAAAGAGGTGCCCTTGGTTCAGGTTCTGTGGCAGCATCGGAAGGGATCCAAGTGGACTTGGGAGCCGAAGTTCGAGATGCGTGAGCAGTACCGAGATTGATTTCCAAAGAATGACTTCGAGGGCGAAGTCTGATTCTAGTGGGGGGAGAATGGTAAAATCCCGACTCCCAGGTATAATATTTAATTGAATTATATTCATTTTGATAGGGCAACTCGACGAGTTAGAGGCCCCAACTTTCCGAGTAGAGATTGAGATGGTCGCCTGATTTTTAGAGTCTACTCAACGAATTGGGGGGACCCAACTTGACGAGTAGGAGTTGAGTGTGAAAACCCTAATAGGAGTGACTCATGTTTGCATCAAAGAACAAACATATGATATACTCACAGAGGTAAGGCACAAGTGAAGCATAAGGAAATGCAGGAGCTAACTAGAGTAAAACAGGTAACAAATTCTAGACAAGGGGAGGGGGGGATATTGTCATAATCCAGATTTCGTTGAATGTTTTATTGACTGTTTTACCAAGTCTAGGAGGTTGAATAATTCAAATCTATGTTAGCTGTAGTTTTCTGGTCATGGGTAGATACGAGAGATTGTTTCCTTGTTTTATGGGATTTTCTTATTTCAAATAGGTAATGTGCTCTCCTTTTTCTCTTTTATGAATAAAACTACTGAATAAATCTTGTGTCTTCAGGGTAAAAGCCTTCAGTGTTCAATGCCATTAGAAGCCATTCTTATTAGCCTTCTACCAACATTTGATAACTTTTTACAAAAAAATTGATATGTATCTACAATGATATAGAAAAGCATCAAGTAGTTAACTTCTAGTTTAATTTAATGAGGAGTACTTTCCATTGACAAATTGATCCTGCTGCTACACCAACACAATCTTAGAGATATAGTAATTGCTTATAAGGTAAATTAGCATCCTTTCATCTTGATGTGGTATACTATGCATACAATCTTGCACTTAAAAAAAGTTAATGATTGAAGTTGTATTATGAACTTATAATCATATCCATACCAAGATATGTGTGCCCTTGAACCACAAATCGACAGAAACTATTTATGGTAAAGAAAATGTGGAAATATAAACAGTGCAATGAAGAAGTAAGAAATAAACCAAAATCGTCAATAAATTTTCAATTATGAATGAATTTTCAAACCTTCTACCTTATTACATGACACTCACTATATATAATAATTGCTAATAGGCTTGGGTATTTTGTGCACCACAAGTCCCCAGGTACAAATCTATGATATATAACCACATGAAAATATATTTGAGTAAATGAGCAACGATGATGATTTAGTTAATCTGTAATTGAGGAAGCATCCAACCTTGATGGAGAAGACAAATAAGGTTTTGGAGGAATTTCTAATGATGCCAAGTCCCCTTCTAACATTTCCAACGCCTTCATGATTGTTGGTCGGTTAACGGGATTAGTTTGTATGCACCACAAGCCCACTATTATCATTTTTCTTGCCATCTCATTTTCTTCATTGCTCATACTCCTATGTAGTCCAAGTTCTTCATCAAATTCAAGCTTTTTGTAGATCCAATGAGGAAAGTATATTTCACTTGTATGATCAACCTCTGCCTCAATATTTTTCCTCCATCCAACCATTTCCAAAATCATCATCCCATAACTATAAACATCTGATTTATGAGATACCTGCCCGAAATTTCTAGAATAAACTTCCGGAGCAATATATCCTGGTGTTCCTCTCATATGTGACATTGATATCATGCTTCTATTATCGGGGAATAGTTTAGCAAGCCCAAAGTCAGATATCTTGGGAGAAAAATCTTGATCCAAAAGTATATTATGGGGTTTTATGTCGAAATGCAAGATCCATGTGTTGCAACCAATATGCAAGTATTCTAATCCCCGAGCAATCCCCACAGCAATCTCATGCAACTTTTTCCACCCAAGTTGGCTATTATCTGAAGAAGCTTGGTCATGTATGAACTTCTCAAGTGATCCATTAGGCATAAACTCATAGATCAATGCTCTTTTATGGCCCTCGAAGCAAAATCCCACAAGACTTACGATATTTACATGGGAAGTCTTGCCAACACTTGCAACTTCGTTTATAAAATCTTAGCCTTTACCTTTTAATTCGCTTAAAATCTTCACGGCCACTAGGTTTCCGTTACTTAGCACCCCTCTATACACGGACCCAAAGCCGCCTTGTCCTACTTTGACTTCAAAAGTGTTTGTCATCTTCTTTATTTGCAAATAAGAGTACCTTTTTGCGAGAAACTCATGATTTTTTAGAAAATTTTCCACATTAACGTAGCTCTGAGTACTTCTTCTCCTTTTGAATTTCCTTATGAAGCATAACATTATCACAACCAATATTGTCCCTAATCCTATACAAAGAGCTGCAATAAATAATGATTTAAAAGCCTTAAATTAGTTACTGTTGAAACTGAAAAGCTAAGTCGGGTGAACAAAAGGTGTGTATGTAATGACTTACCCGTGACAAGAATCACTGATGATTTTTTTTTGTTCCTACATGGACAAAAACCCAGTCAAGCTATCATATTTTAATAAAACTTAACATATTAATTAGCTGTTGATTATATATTTTAAATTTAAATTGTTATCACCTTAACTCAAATTTATTAGCTTTATGTGTTCATCATTTTGTATGGTGCCTTATGAACACTAGACACCTCGCAACCCTCGTAGGAATAGTTAACCTTTTGACTTTAGGAATGTGGCCACAAATTTTTTGGTTTTAAAACATAGGCCGTAAACATTTTGGTTTTAGGATTTTGGCCAAGACTTTTGTATGTTGTCAGGTTTGGTCTCTGTATAAGAAATAAATCCAAAAAATTGACCCTATAATTTTTATAATTTTCAGTCAATTTGCAGTTTTTCTTACAGAAATGATCCACATTTAAAAAAAAAATACAAAACCGTCACTTTACAATAAAAAATTTATAGATTACAGAAATGGTTGTATGTTTAAAAAAATTGCAAAAAATGTCTACCACAGAAAAGTTACATATTACATCTCCGCAAAGCGGGGTTATTTAATATATTTTAGAAGGCAATATCAATGGATGTTTCTATGGACAATTTGCATCATTTTTGTAAAATACTATTTTTTACCCTCTATTTTTTCCAATACTTTGTAAAATGGTAAAATTGCAGAAAATGTCTCTATCATAGAAAAGTTACATATTAGGCTGGAGGGAGTGGTGCCACCGAAACCGCACTCTCTCCCCCGCCACATCAGCGTCATGTCACCTTTTACCACTTAAGTGTGGTTTCTTGCCACACTTTTCATTTTTTTTTATTTTTTTTAAGTATTTTAATTTAATAAAACTTCTTTTTTTTTTAACTAATTTAATTTAATATACCTTCTATTTTAATAAAAAAACATAATTCTTCATTACTTGAAAATAAAAAAAAAACAGTATATTGCGTTACCAAAAAAAAAAAACACACACACACATGACATTTAAATAACCCTAGAAACTTAAAAAACATAAAGAAAATAACTAAAGGAAACTACATAAAGTCGTTCTCCGAGAACTCATCTTCGGGGTCATCCGGTGGATCCAAATTAAGGTTAATGTTTTGAACCCCGTAAATGTGTTCCACCAAGTCATTGCGAAGATTGTGAAATGTTTCGGTGCAACGTATCTCTGCTCTCCTGTTTATATACTCTTCGCCACCAATTTCTATTGGTTGTGTCTCTGGTATGATTTCTTCCTCGTCAAACGCACATATCGCTCTTCCTTCGTCTTCAATAATCATGTTATGCAATATAATACATGTATACATGATTTCTTGAAGTTTTTCCTCGCCCAAATAAGCTGCTGGTTTTTTCAATATGAACCACCGTTTCTTCAGAGCTCCAAAAGCACGCTCAACATCCTTTCTAGCTCTTTCTTGAGCTCTCTTGAATTTCTTTCGTCTAGAACCATGCGGAGCTGAAAACGATTTAACAAACACAGCATACTCAGGATAGATTCCATCGACCAGATAATAACCATACTTATATGGCGTTCCATGCACTTGAAAAGAAGAATCTGGTGCGGATCCATCGTATATGTTGTTAAATATTGGTGAACGGTTAAGAATGTTGATGTCGTTAATCGAACCAGGAGAACCAAAAAAAGCATGCCAAATCCACATATCTTGTGATGCAACTGCCTCAAGTATTACCGTTGGGTGACCATGATCACCTCGGGTAAATTGCCCATGATATGCTGTAAAGGCAATTTTCCCATGCCCAATGGAGACAATCTAAGCTTCCTAGCATTCCAGGAAATCCATGCACACTAGCATGATGAGCTTGCAATTGCAAGATGTCATTACGTGTAGGCTTACGTAAATATTTTGGACCATAAAACTGAATGACAGTTTTGCAGAAAAAATGGAGACTGTCTCATGCTATCCTAGCAGACATCCTAAAACTTTCGTCTAACGCATCAGGCGGAATGCCATATGCTAACTGACGAAGTGCCGTCGTGCATTTTTGTAACAGAGTGAAACTGGGTGTACCTCTAGCATCGTGGTGTTGTTGGAAAAAACTGCACTCCCTCGTTACATCTTCAACTATACGTTCGAATAAACCTTTGAGCATTCTGAAGTGCCTACGAAAATAATACCCTTGGTAAGTGGCATTCTCTGCAAAATAGTCTTGTACCAAACGTTGGTTGACTTCTTCACGATTTCTGTAAATGTATCTTCGTGTTCTCTGTTGAGAACTTGCAGCTGCGTTGTTACATACAACGTTGTATGTTTATTCCGCCATTTGAACACACGCAATAGCGGTATCAAAAATAGTCTGAAATTCTTCAGAAGATGAAGAAGATGATATTTTTGGGAGAGTAGTGATTTAAAAAAAAATATATTTTTTGAGAGATAGAGAAGATTATGTTGTGAATAAAAAAGTTAAGTTGATATGTGTATATATAGGAAAGAAAAAGAAAAAAAAAGGAAAAAAAAAACAAAAGAATCTTTCAATTTCAACGGTCAAAATGACCAGCCAATCAGAATACGCGGTCTTGAGGGGCCGCACCGCGGTTTAGACCGCAGCAAACCGCACCCTAGGGGCGGCGTTCTATGCTGAGTTGGCATGGAAGCGCGGTCTCAAGCCGCACCACACCGAGAAGTCTTACATCTCCTGCAAAGCAGGGTAATTTAATATATTTTAAAAGGCAATGTCAATGGATGTTTCCACTGACAATTTGCACTATTTTTGTAAAATGATATTTTTTACCCTCCATTTTTCCAATACTTCGTAAAATGGTATTTTCCACCTATAAAATATCATTTTCACTTTGAAATTTGTAAAATGTCACTTTTATCAACTCTATTTTTCAAATTTTTGTGTTTAGCCCTCGTAGTATATATATATTTAAGTTTGTCTACGTTTGTAATTTTTTTTACGTTTTCATGCTTATTGTTATGTACGCTTCTTATGTATAATTCAAGTCACATATAATGTGTTTTCTATTGTCTGGACTTTTGTTCGTTAACTTAAAAAACATTTATTCAATTATGCTTATGTACGTTGTAAATTCGATTTTCTTTACGTTTCGATGTAAATTTATGTGTACATTTTTATGCTTATTTTTAGGTATGTTTTCTACATATGATTTTGGTCACATATAATCATACTTTTTCATAGGACGACATAAATTGAAGTTAGTCATGTAAACCCAAAATCATAGCATGATGTACCAAAAAGTCCCTAAAACCAAACATCTATCGACTAAGGATGAACACGTTTGCGACTCCGACAAAGCGGGGAGGGGTCAACTTCTAGTTAGAAATAAATACTTAAATAAGTAGTTTATACATTTCAAAACTATATTATGTGCATAGAAATCAGGTAAACACAAGAAAGGAAATAATTAAAAAATAAAATGTGACCTATCATTTATCAATATTAAAAAAAAATATATGAAAAACAAGGGAAAAACTTAAAAACCTATTTTGTGATTCTGGAATAACCTGAAACACGGTCCGGTCAATAGTATTTTTAAAATCCGATTGAATTGAAGCAGTAAACTAACATTGGTTTTATGTTTATTTTTAAATCAAAACGAACCAGTCGGTTTTTACAAACAACAAGTTGAATCGATTGAGCATGTTAAATTGAATAAAAAGACTTGAAAATAAAACATTTTGCATAACAAAAGTTGGTGGTCTTTTTACATCTATTTAGACTTCTCTTAAATTAAATAAAAACACATGATAAATGTTATGAAGTTTTTTGATACGTGTGTATTCATATAAAATTAAAATTTTGTTTCGATATTATATTATATTTAATTTTTAATATATATGGATTGATGTAAAACTTATGAATATATTTTTTCTTAATTTATTTGGTGTGATCTATAATTAGTTTTGGTATGTATTTCTAATGTTTGAACTTATGTATATAGGAAATTAAAAAGAAAATAGAAAAAAATAATAATAATAGAAACCGGGTTAACCTGCCAATTGACCCGATTAAAACGATAATCGGTGATCATATTTGTTCAATTAAAAAAATAATTTTTAAACATCCGTTAAAACATGATATAGCATTGCTAAATTGAAAAGTAAAATAATGTCGTAAAGTGAGCATATAACAGTGGCCGGTGGGTGATGCATTATTGTTTGTGAGGTGAGTTTTATTTATGTTTTTTATTTATCTTATATAAAACAAAATATTTTAACTTTTTTTTTTATACTAGTATCACATTCCTTCGTTATTTATTAGTCGTATGTGATGTGATGTGAAATTGAGACAAGTTGACTTTATACCAAAAATGAAAGTTCTTACCAGTCCGGCAACTCACCATATGGGGCCTATCGCGACAAAAACAACGAAATCCGAAAGTCATCTGATTGAACCCACACCTACCACCGCTGCTCTCACAAACACCACAATCCGCCGCAAGCCAATGCAACACGAACCCCCTTTCCACTACCTCCAGGTAGTTATCACCGTCAACGACCTGACTCCTCCCTTCTTCGCCACTCAATTCTACCAGCGTCTCCACAACCTTACGACCATACCCACAACTTCTCGTTACATTTCTCAAATTCATATCATTAGCAAGCATCACCACCTCATTACTTTCCTCACAGGATCGTATTCTATACCTTTCCAGATTCACCGGCAATACACTCGAGCAGTTCGAAATCAAAATGAGTTTCGTAGTAGAAACATTGTCTATCCGGAATCGGTTAGCTTCAAGCGTTATGTTCCTGATCTTCGAGGGACAGGATTCAGTTTGATTCGGCAAAATCGTGGCGTCTTGGAGACGGAGGGAGCTGTTTTTATATTGAATATCTTTAACAATGAAGTCGTTTTCTGCGATCCGAAGAATTGAGGAGCCATTGCTGCAGCGGAGCTCAAATCCAGGGTAACCACAAGAGGAATCATGTAGTCCGTTGATGAAAAATGGAAAACTAACTTTAAGCCCATCTCCACAGTCTTTTGCAACACAAGCTTCGTAGCTGGGATCCAAACTGAGCGATTGGTTAAGAAGTAGGAAGATGGTGAAGACAAGGGTGTGTTTTTTCATAATCTTGTAAGAGATCTACACAGATGTTTTGTCCGAATCTCGATAGATAGATGGGGGTATGATGGAAGTTTGGTTTAATGAGGAATGAATATATCGGGCCGTTCGTGGTTGTGCGTTTTCACTTTTTGACTTTAATTTTTTTTTGACTTGAAAACAATTTATGGATAGTTTTAACACACGCTAGTAGGTTTTTTTTGAATGACATGTATTGTCGTAATGACTATAGATGACTACAAATGTTTATCATTGAAATCATAATCTTCTTTTTTTCCCTTTGTATTTCCTTCCTTAGCTACATGCTTCTCGTTGGGCTTTTCTACTTATATCAATATATTTACCGTTTCCAAAAAAATTAAAATTATCGTCATATGGAATAAACGATAGGCATTTGTCCATCGTAAATTAACGACATACATTTATGATATACAAATACAACTATTCATTATATATAATGATAAAAAGCTAAAGCAGGTTGTTTTTGTTTCATTTAGACACTAAAGTACGACGTAGATTATTGTACGTTGTCTTGTGAATTTTCACAAAATATATTGTTAACAACACGCATTTATGTCTGTCATAAATCAGATGCGTGTCACAATCCGTATGTCATTATAGTTTCTTTTTCTTGTAGTGGCATATCTATACTTATATAGATGTTTGGGTGATTGGTGAAAATTTTGCATACGAGTATTTAATAGTATTTAAGCAGATTAAGAACTAAATCTAGAGAAAAAAAAAACTCTTTTTAGAGAGTAAATTTTGGTATGTGTTTTCAAAATGAAAAAGGGCTCTCAATTTATACAAGAAAAAGAAAAAAGGGTTGTGAATTTATACAAGAAAATGAAGAATGAGAGTTACAAAGTTGATTAGGTCATAACTGAACATAACAACCTCATGTTGATATGGAAAACTATCAATATTAAATCTCTTTATGCCCTTCAAGCAAAACAAAAGTAGTGATGTGAAGCTTGGATCCTAAGTATGAGAACTAGGCAAACAAAAGACCTTTTGTTAATATACAATTGAGTCATGGTAGGAACATGAGAAACATCAGGCATCCTTATATAACCATGTCTCAGATGAAATGGATAACAATCTCAATATGTTTTCAAATTACCTACCAAATAGGTGATGCTAAAACTATCACACCATAGAGTCAACGTACAAGGAAGGGTTAGGAAAAGCTCATGCAGAAAAGTCAGCTAACATATATAAGTACACGTTGATGTAAATACCTGATACTCGAAATAGATACTAGATTTAGCAACAACATATTTCCTTTATACTCTAACCAATCAAATTCAGCCCAAGAAAACACAAAATCTAGTAATGAAATGTCAATCATTAGGACAACCGACCCGATGCGTTTCTAGGCTAGACATTAATGATGATATACTATTTTAGGTTAATCTTTGTAACTTATTTTGAAATAATAAAGATGTATTATTAGAGTATTATGTGCTTATATTTAATTATTATGATTTAATAAATTAAAGATTCCGGAGATATAAAGAATACCGAAATCCAAGTTATAACGAAGAAGTTATGACATGTCGAAGTTTCGTGACAGAACCGGCACGACGCTGTGTGACGTAAAAAGTGAATTTACGATAAAGTGATTTTTAGCCTTAGCGATGTAAATGAAAGTCGTAGTATACGTTAAACCGAGAGTGTGTATAAAAAGAATGTCCAAATCTGACTTTGTATGAGAAGTTATGAATTTTCTAAGATTTGGTATAGCAGTATGCAGCCCGAAAATCGAATTTTAGACCGAGCGATTTTTAGCCGACACAACGTAAACGACAATTAAAGATCATGTTGATAGTAGTTCAATGGTAAATAGACAGACGAAAACGGACGTCGGATGAAGAAGTTATGAATTTTTAACGGACTTTTCCTGTCACAGTCTGTTAAAATACAACGTTAAAAATAAAATCAAAACTAGCCAACGGAGTCTAAATGAAAGTTGTAGAGCATAATTTCACCTACGTGTGGATATAAAGAACGTAAAAAACGGAGCATGCATGTGAAAGATATGAATTTTTGAAGTTTCAAGCGCAAACTTCGAAACTGGAAGAACGCCCAACGTACCAAGAGGTACGCTTAGCGTATATATGTATACCCAACGCACGACATATGTACGCTCATCTTACTATTGTGTTCACGGTTCGAAATTGGCCACGTAGCCCTACTCCATTTCATGGTGTACACGTATTCATAGCCTTGACGCGTCCGAGATAATCCCTTTGTACGCCCAGCGTACTGGTTGGTGAAGAAGTACGCCCCGCGTACCATGATGTTACACCCAGCGTAAAGGTTGGTAAAGAAGTACGCCCCGCGTACCAGGTCAGTTACGCCCAACATCGCTCGAGGGTTCAACCACTATAAATAGTGAGCGAGGCCATCCAAATTTATGTTACAAACTTTCATTCTCTCACCCTATACTTTCTTGTATGTTACAATAAATACCCCTAACCCTAAAATACTATCCTAGCATCATAAGAAAGCCCCGAAGAATCCGAAGATCCCGAGAAAAAGAGATTTCGAGTCGAAACTCTGCCCACGTGAAGCCCGGTTTTTGAGAAAACATCCTGGTTTTATCGAAAAAGATTGTTTTCAGGGACAAAGTGTTGCCTAATTATCGTTAAATCAAGTGAGTGGGTGGTCACATTCCTCTTACACATAGATATGAAGTATTTTCTATAAAATACGTGCTATGTGTATATATATTGTTTGTTTATTTGAGATGGATGTTGAATGAATGTTTTATACAAGTTTTAAACTATATATGTATTTTTATCTACAAATATGTTGGGTACAACATGGGTTGATGAAAATAGATGATGTGTGATAAAATGATGAGAGGCATCAATGTTGTTGTTATTAGTTTTGTTGTTGTTGTTGTTGTTGTAGTCATCTAGCGGCGTATAGATGACGACCACAGACCTTTCTAGACAGTCCATTGGAACTCTAGCAGGCTCGCAACCTGTAGGTGTTGGTGAACTATATATTCGTTGGTGTACTCCATCCCCATCATGGTTGTCTTACAGACATACATAGCTGATGAATCCCCTTAGCAGTAAAGTCCATCCCGATGATGATCCTTAGGTTAGGTCCCTTGTGATAGGTGTTTAGAAACGTAAAGTGAGGATAACGGGAATGAATAATCAGGGATATTGTTGGTTGATGAAAGTAATAAATTTATTATTGGTTGATGAAATTAATAAATTTATTTATTGTGGGTTGAAAACCATATATGCTCATTAGGCACCCAATCCTAACCAACACAACTTTTTATTACAGGTAGTAGACCTAGAGCATAGTTGGATGATGATGAGGGATTTTTGGATTATTGGCCAGTAGATGTAAATAACTGTTGTAATGCCTATAATGTACTGTTTATGCTTATGGTCTGTATCAATGTGGACATCCCGAGTTTTGTAATGAAATAAAGAATACATTTCTTTAAGAAATGCTTTGATAAAATTTTATTATATTTTGTTTTGTGACAAATTCTACATATTTTTATTGGAGAGATTACTTTGATTTTATTTTAAAAGCATAAACTAAATCGGTCTTTTCTGTCCGACAAATTTAGGATGTCACATCAGGTGACTCTTGGATATGAAGACCATGAATAATGATATCCTTATGATACGATAAAATATGTTAGACTACTAATGTGTGATTTTATATACTAAAAATTAAGCAAACATTTAAATTTATAAAAGTGATTTTAACACAACTGCATTGTAACACACACTAGGCGGTGTACCTAATTGTATAACATTATCGTTGTAGCAAGACCTGGTATTGAACCTAATGGGAACGAGTATGATTTCGAATAAGAATATTAAACTCGAAATTAAACTAAAACAAAAAAGTAAATTGGGGGTTTAATTTAAACTAAATTAAACTTGAATTAACTTGCAAACTAGCAAATGAAAGCAAATAACTTGATTAAAACAATAACTTTAAAGTACTTCCACTTAGATACCGAATTCCCCTCTTTCCCTATGGTTGATTTAATAGAAGTGCAATGTATTTATATTGTTAATTACATATCTCTATATTGACTAGCTATCTTGATCTAATTAACTAATATTATTAATTATAAAGCAACTAAAACAATGGTCACACAATTAACTAACTAAATAATCAATTAAATGTTCGAATTATAAAAGATTTGATCTAGTGATTAATCTTAATGGTCATGAAAATCAATCTAAGCATACAAGGTCATCTAATGCTAACTTACACATTACAAGTCATGATTATATAACCTAACCTTAGGATTTGGTTCATCTCTAGTACAAGGTCATCTAATGCTAACTTACACATTATATGTCATGATTATATAACCTAACCTTAGGATTTGGTTCATCTCTAGTCCTAACAATTTATTGTTCATAAATTAGTTAAGACACAAGCATATATAGTCAGATTGATCCTCTAAACTATATACAACTCGGTTATAGATAATAAAAATCAAAACTTTAATACATAAGGATTTTCGATCAAACAAACATAATAAATAATGATGTTTATAAATCCAACTAATAAATCAAACCATAGTATTAATGATTTATTTATATCTAAGCGGATCCAAAGGGTATTACTCCATAATTATAGCTAAAACACAAAGAGAAATAAAAAAGGAATCGCTAAATATTATACTAAAGCAAATCAAATGATTAATTTATGTTTCTATGCTTAGATATTCGAAACGACACTCGTTCATCAGCTTCGAATTCCCATATGGTTTTTGATTTTCATAATATAGCTAGTCTCTTAAGTTGGTATATCTTCTGGAATATAGGGGGTCATCTATTTATTTGATTCTCGAAAAACATCGGATTCGCATCACATAAGGTCCAAAGTCGTGGCGCCTTTCACTAGTGTTCGAGCTGTGCTCAGAGGTTTGCTCACATCATGAAAATGGATTTTCCTTTTTCAACCCCTACCCTCAAACTTATTACATATAATGCTCTCATTGTTTTAAAAAAACATCTAAAGCGTATTAAAGTTAAAGGGAAAAAAAGGAATATACTCTTTTTAGTGGCAGGATCTAACTTGATTGTTAGTGGAAACTTTTTAATACAATGCTGTAAACTTTTTGCTAAAATTATG